TATATGTATATAGATGTAGATAATGCGTATGTGTTCTTCCATTATTATCCAATAGACCGGTTTTCCACAATGGATCATCTATGATCAACTTAAAAATATTTCACATTCGTTTCACAGCAAACATCGCATCACTCGCTGTTCCGTGCATTCACACGTACCTCTTCCCTTATTTGCAGGCATACTACCGCCAGGGGGTAGCACTGCAGTGCCTCAGTCGTTACTACGATGCCTTGGCGGCGTTTGCATCGGGGCTGGCCCAGGATGTGAAGAGCATACAGCTGCTGGCAGGACTGGTGGAGACGGCGCTCAAGTCTCCTCTCAAAGGTATGTATAAGAAGCAGAGAATACCGTAGCGGGAAAGCTCGGAGGTGCCACTACAGTGTAGATGTATGTCCCATATAGAGTCAATCCATGTCATAATGTCTACAATGTATATGTACATAGAGATGACAGACTTTATGTTTCTTTGTGTAAGCAATGTAAATGTAACCCATAGAGCCACAATCTTATACTTGCTATTCCACAATGTAATTAAAAATCGTATAATATACGCGTATTAATAAACGTATATCTGTACCGAATTAAATATAAAATTATAATTATAACCATTAAAACGTAAATCGCTACCGAATCACGTAAAAAAACAGCAGCACGTAGACTGTCCCCGACCGTCAATGCCTGTTTCTCCCCCGCGCACGCAGAGACGTTCGAGCCCGTCTACCATCAACTACAGAAGATGAAACTCGACAAAAGTCCGTTCGTCGTCACGTCTGTCGTCGGCCAGGGGCTGCTGTCCGTCGGCGCCCACCCCGCCGCCGCCGTCGTCCTGGAATCGGCACTCCGCGTCGGCACATGCAGCCTCAAACTGCGCGGATCCGTCCTATCAGCCCTCAGCAGCGCCTACTGGTTGCTAGGCAACGTGACGCGCGCCATCGCGTACATGCAGCAGGATTTGACGGCGGCGCGTTCGCTGGGCGACCACGCCGGAGAGTGTCGCGTGCACGGGAACCTCGGCTCGGCGCATTTCTACGCGGGAGCGTACACACTCGCACTCAACCACCACCGCTTCCAGCTAGTGCTAGCGATGAAACTACAGGCACGGGATGCAGCCTCGCAGGCGCTTGCAAGCCTCGGGCATGTGTACACAGCCGTCGGAGACTACCCGAATGCACTCGCCAGCCACAAGCAGTGTGTCGTGCTCGTGCGACAGCGGGGTGACCAACTCGCGGAGGCGCGAGAGATTGGAAACGTCGGTGCCGTTTATCTGGCGATGGCGGACTTCGATTCGGCGGTGGAGTGTCATAAGGAGCACCTGAAGATTGCGACGGAGATGAGGAATCGCATGGAGGAAGCGAGAGCGTACAGTAATCTTGGCAGCGCGCACCACTACCGACGCAACTTCGATCAGGCGATCACGTTCCACAATAACGTGCTCAAGGTACGTGTGTAGGGGGATGTGTGTGTGTGTGTGTGTGTGTGTGATGTGTGTGACTGCCTGTGTGTGTGTGCTGTGTGCTTATGTGGGTGTGTGTGTGTCGTGTGTGGGAAGATGTGTGTCGTGTGTGTGTGTGTGTGTGTGAAGGATGTGTTGTGATGCCGTGTGTGTGTGGTGTGTGTGTGTGTGTGTGTGTGGCTGTGTGTGTGTGCGTGCCAGTGCGCGGATGCGGTGCGCCGTTGCGCGTGGTCCTGTGCGTGCGTGCGTGCGTGCGTGCGGGCGTGCGTGTGTATGTGTATGTGGGAAGGCTGTGTGTGTGTGTGTGTGGTGTGTGTGTGTGTGTTGTGTGCGCTGCGCGTGCGGTGCGCGTGCGCGTAGTGCCGCGTGAGCGTGCGTGTGTGTGGGGATGTGTGTTTGTGCGCGCTGTTTCCGTACGGCGTGTGCTACGCGTTACGTGTGCGTGGGTTGCGTGCGTGCGTGCGCGTGTGTGCTGTTTCGTGTGCGTTGCGTGTGCCGGTGTGTGTGTGTGTGTGTGTGTGGCCGCGGCGGCGTGTGTGCGTGTGATGTAAGAGATCGTGGTCAATTAGGGAAACTAGTCAAGTTGTTAAGTACGTCTTTACAGTATTTATAAAAATATTTTTTCCTTGACTGAAGGTGGCGGTGGAGGTCGGTGGACCGGACGGGCTGGAGGCACGTGCGTACGCGGGGCTCTGGCACACGCTTCCGCTGCATGGGCGACTACAACAGGCCAGCGGACGTGCATGAGAAGACAGCTGCGACACTGCACTGGACCACGAAGGGACAGGTGGCTGAGAAGAGCTCTCCACCTAGGTATGACGCGCGAGCCCGACGGCGAGGGGGGGGTGGTCGGAGCGTATGGGGGCGCGGGCCGGGGTCGGGGCCGCAGGACCCTGCGCGAGGGCGCGGCCACCCCACGTTTGCTGATATACACACGTATGTAAGCACTCACGAGCACCAGCACGCACGCACGCACCACGCACGCAGCGACGCATGTATGGCAAACACAAACACACACAACACGCCGCCACGCACGCATGGTATAGCATACATGTACGCAGGCCACGCACGCCGCATGTATACGACGCACCCATACAGACATACAAACGCACACGGCATGTACGCACATTACATGGACACTGTACATGGACACACGCGCGCATGTATGCACATACACCCGGCACACACGCACGCATTGTATAACATACAGACCACACACACGCATGCACGTGCGCATACATGTATACACGCGGGCCATGGTATGCCAGTATGCCCGCACACACGCACGCATTTATATCATCATTACACACACGCGCATGTACTCACACATACATGGACACACGCGCATGTAGTGCACATGACGCGCCGCACCACGCACGCATTTATACATACATACACCACACGCGCATGCACTCACACATACATGTATACACACGCATGTATGCACATACGCCCGCACACACGCACGCATTTATCATACATACACACACACGCATGCCACTTGCGCATAACAGTGTAATACACACGCATGTATGCACATACGCTGCAGCGCACCACGGTACGATTTTTATACGTACATGATATACACACGCATGTGATGCGACATGACCGCCCCGCACACAACGCACGCATTTATTACATACATACACCACACACGCATGCACTCACACATACATGTATACACACGCATGTATGCACATATGCCTGCACGCACCACGTACGAATTTATACATACATACACCACACACGCGCACCACGCGCGCACGCCACTTACACATTACACGGACATACACACGCACGCATTTATTTTATACATACATGCACACACCTATACAGACATGCAACTCACTACCATACATACATGCACACACTCATACAGACATGCACTCATACATACATGCACACACACTCATGTGTGCACGCATGCTCGCACGCGTGTACGCACGCGTGTATGCACACACACGCGCACACATTCTATATATCTCACAGTGCAGAGTTTGCATCTCATCCTGCGTGTTCTTCGTTCGTGTAGGCATCATCTTCCAGCTGCTAGGTCAGTACGAACCAGCCTTGAAGCTACACAGTGCCCACCTGCGCATCGCTCAGGCTCTCAAGGACCAGGCAAGCCAGGGCCGAGCCTACGGAAACATAGGTAACGTCCCACTGCGACAGTATATGTGCTAATTCCAATCGCTATTATATCGCAGTGCACACAAACACAAACGCAAATTCACGCCCCTAATACCGGATGCACGAATGAAATATGCGTGAGAAGATTGTAACCCAGTATATATAACCTCTATCTCTACTACCAAATGCCGTGAGGGGAACGGAAAACCGAACATATCCTAACGGTTTTTTATTATAGGTTTGTTAGTTCGCACGTACCTACAAACTGCCAGCATGTAGCAGCTGGTTGTTGATTTCCTTGTTAGTGGTTATTACTGACAATAAACAAAGTGCTATAGGAGACACATGCAATGTCGTCTCATTGCATCAATAAAAAAAACTGGGGTAAGGTTCTGAATAGGTTATATATATATACATAATATACTAATATAATCACAATTATTAATTAGAGGTGAATAATAATAATAAATATAGCTTATATCTCGAAAAAATCAGATACAATATATACGATCTATACTATTATTATATTCACTCCTGTTATTATGTTTATACAGACAAGTAT